CCCGTGGAAGCTTTAATGCCCCACGCAGAACTAAGAACATTCCCAGAAAGATTCCTCCCATACCATGGTAACAATCAGTTATTCTTAATACTTTTGAGTATTCTAATAAGATCATTTCCGTTAGTTTGATAATCCCTAATTATGAATGTCAACCAAAGTGCAATCATCAAGAGCTGGTACCATCATGCTTACCCATATCTGCTCTTTCTTACAGTTTTCACATCAGTTTTCTTTGTCTAACAATTTTTGTAAATTTCTTTTCAATTTTTGGGAGCTCACAGTAACTTTGCTTCAATTATTTTTCTGGTGCAGCATTTTGTAAGACCTCAGTTTACCTTTAGTATTCAACAAAAAATAGTGATATTTCATCCGTACTTTGTATAATCCTCTTTTACATTTGTTTTGATTTTTTCTCCTTTCATAGATATGGATTATACACTCAGGTAGTAGTGTTTTTGACTAAATATATTATCTGACCTCTGATGTTATGTCATATCTTCTAGGTATCGTAGCACCTCGGTGAGGATGGTTGTCGGAGGTTTTCTGCCATTCAGGCTTGTATATTTTCTTGCTGGTTCACAAATATTTATGTACAATAAGTTTCTGTTAGTAGTAAAACAAAGATATATTTAAAAAGATGTACCCTTGAATCTGTGCTGGTTTTGGCCTGAAGGCCAATAGGCATAATTGTCTTCTAGACAGAATTGACAATATTCTAAGAGCAACTCGATTTGATTGGGCTTAAAAGTCAGTGTACCTTATAACATACAGTATTACTTCTATGTTTACTTTAGCTTTAAGTTCTTCAGAATTTTCACAATAATTTCTCTTAGTAATAGGAATTTTATAATAAAAAAAGTCAAGTAAAAGAAAAATCACATTTAATGCATTAGAATGTGTGAATAACAAATAAAAATCAAAAGCCAAGTACTTCTGAGATAAATATTGCATGCAAGCAAATTTTTCTACTGCATGCACACATTGAACCAGCTACATGCCCATGAAGGGCAGGTAATTCCCTCATATCACACACTGGTGAGAGGGACCATCACTGATTCATCGTGAATTATATTATTATTATTTTGGAATCTTGCTTTGCAGTGCAATCCCTGTGGAGCTATACTACATTTTTCCCACATTGTGGGGACGTGAACAGTATACCTTATATGGGATCCTTTTCATAGTCTTTGTTATCCTTCTGAACGTCACAGCTTGTATCTCCATTGCTCTGACATACTTTCAGCTTTCTAGTGAAGACTACCGCTGGTGGTGGCGTTCACTTATGTGTGGAGGGTGAGGATGATTTTAATGTTGTATAATTTAAGAACACTTTTGCAGGTACATGTACTGTTAGTAGTACTTTTGACCAATAGCTCAGAGCTAGAACACAGTGAAAGCTATAATAACAAGCCATGCCAGTCCTTTCCCCATCTTCCCCCACACACACACGCACATGCACACACATGCAAGTGCACACCCATACACGCACACCCACACCCACCCATCATCCCTAGCAAGACTAAATATGCTCAAAGGTTTTTATGCTTAATCTGACATGCACTGCTTCCAGTGCTTAAAATAAAGGGTAAATGGTTTGGGAAACATAAGTTTCAGAAGTAAGTATGAGAATGAAGAAATTTAGGGGCCAAGATGTAGAAGGCATGAAAATTATCAGACTCCAGACTCTATTTTTTGAAGAGTTCTTTTAAAACAGCCCATATAAGTTCTTGTGAATAATGGTGACTTGTGTTGCCCTGAAAATGATCAAAAGATACATGTAATTGAAAAATTTCAAGTGTTTTTATTTTATGTTTAGTATTTAACCTTTTGTTATGTGTTTTTTTTTTGGAGTTATTAATCTAAATTTTCTCTGTGAGTCAGACTATTCTTTAGCTTCCTTTACTTGTCTGTTTCAGGTCCACATCTATTTTTGTGTTTGGTTATGCTATGTTTTACTACTACAAGAGATCCAACATGTCTGGAATGCTTCAGTCAGTACAGTTTTTTGGATACACACTGCTGACATGCTATGTGTTCTTCCTGATGCTCAGCACAGTGGCTTTCTATGCCTCCTTAAAGTTTATAAGATACATTTATGTCAACCTGAAGATGGACTAACTTAGATCAAACCAAGGATGGAAAGTTGGGACAATTTTGACGCTGCCCAATACACAAGTTGTTTGAAGTATAAGTATAATTAATCTAAACTTTATTGGATAAATGCCCCAAAGGGTTAATGGGTCATTTTTGATCTGTGCAAGCATGCAGTACTTATCTTACAGCTATTTAACGTTGTGAGGTGTAGATTAACCTTTTGGCTCCCACAGTCTGGGAGAAAATTCTCCCCCAGCTGTACCGGTGAACTGTAAATTTCTCTGTAGTTTACAATTGGGAATTAGGTGTTTATCAAGGCAGTATTTCCATAGTTGATGTTCGTCTTTATTTGCAAAGAGTCATCATGCCTGGGAGGGAAAGTAGTAAGAGCAGAAACATGGTAGTGCTGTAATATTATAATGTCCTGTTGCATTTATCAGTGATCAAAGATGACTGGCTAAACCAATTCACTTGTTGGTCGAGTTCCAAGTAGTCACCAAACTAGATCTATATGTCAACTTCTGAATTTTTTTCTCCACTTCTCCAGTGGATTTTTGACAAAAGACAAAAAGGGAAATCTCTTAATTTATTTTGAAACCACCTAGCCCGACTTGGCCAGGCCTTAGTTGTGGAAAACACCTCTTACCAAGGAGCAACTCCTCCCTTTCGTCCTCAGTATGCAAACAGAGTACGAGGGTCAAATGAACACCTTGAAGGTGTTCATTTGGGTTGGAAGGTGGACAAGAAATAATTAATAGTTGAAACACCATATCAAATATTTTATTTGTTAGGGAACATTTTTTAGTCACCCACGTCTTTTGCACAGATACAATGAGAATTCAATGCTACTTGATTCATGTCAAAGGATATGTGGATGATGCTCTGACTGTCAAGTTAATCTACATTAAGTGGTATAATTATAGTTTATAGTACATGTGTATTATTGTACAATATTTGGTTGATTATTTTATAACCTGGCACGCTTTAAGAGGCTTATAATCCATGTCATTGTATTTAAGAATTTCATCATAGGTTTGGGATTTCTGGTGGGTATTGTTTTTTTTTTTTTTTTACTGCGTGGTGTCTATCAATTTTCACGTATATGAATCAAAAGCAACAAATATCAAATATACTTTTTTTGGATATCATTGTAATAATCGTTCAAAATTTAACTTAGAGAAATGTTCATGTTTTTTTGTTAATTTTTTTTTTTGTGACTTCACTGTTAGGCTACTCACTCTTCTCACTAGCCATCACAGATACTACAATAAACTAGACTACACACGCATTTTCATCGGTTCTTAATCGTGATCTATTGGAGAGGAGACGCCGAGACTACGTCACCGAGAACAACATAATGTTGCATCCTTACTATATTAAAAAGAAATGGCGAGTAGCGAAGCCAATCAAACTGCAGTGTTGTTTATACAACGCTGGTAGATTTATACTAACAGATATGTCTGATGAGTTTATGTTCCTTAACCTAAATGATAAGATCTTTTTTACCGTGTTCACACCATGATTTCTCTGCTCACTTGATACGGATTTAACCTATATAATGCAAGGAATGCTTAGGTAGGGGTAACAAAATTATTATTAGTAGTACTTAGTTCAATTGTCATTAAGGACTTAATCAATCAATGGCTAAGGTATCAGAGAGTACAGCTTATTTTAATGCCACCAGAGTTCCTACAGCTCCTTGGACAATCAAAATAAAATCTTTAACAGAACCCTTATTTACTGTGTAATTTGGCTTAAGTTGCTGTAGATTAAAATCGGTTTACAGTTATAATTGCAATTCATTGTAAATTATTGCTTAAATGAGGTGCCTGGGTCATCTAAGGATGTCTGCTGTGTCCAGCCAGACCTTAAATGAATATCTATTCCCATGAGTCATGTGACAAATTCCCACACTTCAACCACAAGCCCGAGTTCCAGCATAGTTAATAGAGGAAACCTCTATTAACTATGGTTCCAGGCATTTATCTATACTTGCTAAAGCAACAGAAAGGAAAGGAAGCTGAGTGTGAAGGTGCAACTTATAAAAAAAAAAAATAATAAATAAACGCTATAAATCCACTTAGGATTGCTGTGAAACAGTTACCAAAGTGCTTGTAAATTTAGAGATGGTAGCTGTAATGAAGTTATTACGTCTCTTATTAGCCCTTATTCACTGTACTCATCACTGACCGCAAAGGTGGCTCATGAGCTAAATTAATTACGGCGGCTTGGGTGGAACGCAGTTGCAATCACCTAATCAATAAGGCCAATGGTTTCGTATGCGAGTTAACCAACAGCCACGTTTTAACAACCCCATTGCTTCAATTTGACAAAGGGGACAAGACACTGCCTTGCACCTGCCTCGCACTTACTTCCGCTCGCCTGAAAAGCACGGAAAAGGGTAACATCTTTCAGATAACTTCTGGTTAATTTCAATTGATGAAAATCAAAGGCTCGGCTTCACTTGGAATTCTATGCCGTCTATCTGCCCCTTCCCATTAGAAAACCACTCTGCACGGTTTGACTCAAACAGCATTGTGACGCATTATCCACCCTGTGGATAAAGCCCAAGCGAGACATGGATAGAATGAAAATGAACTCAAGCATAAGGTCTAAAAGGTGTTTTATTTGAGGCTCTAGTTCACAGTAAAAACGACTCCTCCATTCAAAACTTCGTACAGACTTGGTACAATTTCATAACTCCGCCATTTCCCTCTCATTGTCAAGTTGAAGATATTCTTAATTACTGTAAAAGCCATTTCGATGATCGCGTTTGTGCAAAGTTAGCTTGAATACCACAAACAACAATGAACTAGAGTTCTCGATATAAGTTTAAAAAGTATCCAAATGAACTACAAAACTAGACATTAAAACTCCACCAAATATCTAAGTTAGCGGTATTCTTAGACCTTTTTCTTATAGCTTTTTTTCGTTTTTTGAGTGAAATATCAATAACGTAAAAGTAACATTAATGGATGTCACTGTAACTGCTTATGACTATAATACTCGCAAAAGAGTTATAAATCTTTTAATAAACGAGCTATTTAAAGTAACACTATATACTAAAAAACTCTGATAAGCGATGTCTTAACCTGCATATTATCCTTTTTTTCCTTTTGTCATAATTTCATCGATGTTTTTCATTATTCTATCTTTCGTCTACTAAAGTAGAGATAACAATGAAATTTAACAAATCGAAAGGTAGTAGGAGTGCAAAATACCCGCGAGCGAGTTGTATTGTGCATTTAAACCATTCATATTTTTATTGTATGACTAATTATCTTATAACTGACAGGTCATTCGTTACCCAAACGTTAATTAAGCTGTTTTGTGAATCTGCACTAATGATAAAACGCTATAATCACTATAATGCTCGCTAACTAAAAACTAACTATTTAGATCATCATTATACTGCCAAATCTCAAATGCCGGACTGACATCCTATTCCGCATCTTTTTCTTTTTTTGTTATATTTTTACCTTTTTTCGCTAGAGATTCAAATGATATTGAGCGACTCGATACATACGGATATGAGCCATTTAGATTGATGTACTGCCAAATACCTTACCACTGAACTCTTAACCATTAAAATGTCTAAGTCCTCGATATAATCTGCAGCCCCAAATAACGATCGCCGTAACTTCGGACCTACTCGCCTATTGTGCTCGCGATCGAGTTTAAAAACGCCAAGAAATATACTACCAAATATTTATCAAAACTACGAATAACTATAATAACTACCAATAAAGTATTAAAAACTACCACTAAACTATAAACATTACCAATAAACTATAAAACTACCATAAACTATAAAAAACTACCAATAAACAAAAACTAACAAACTATAAAATACTACCGATGAACAATAAAAACTAACAATTAACTATACAAACTAACGATAAACTATAAGAGCTATTAATAAAATATCATAAACTAGGAATAACGTATAT